CAGGATCAATGGTGTCCTCAATGCTGAGAAATACAGGCAGATACTTATCCATCATGCCATACCATCAGAGAAATACAGTATGTGATTGGCCCCAAATTTATTCTGCAGCAGGACAACGACCCCAAACATACAGCCAATGTCATTAAGAACTATCTTCAGCATGAAAAAGAACAAGGAGTCCTGGAAGTGATGGTTTGGCCCCCACAGAGCCCTGGTCTCAACATCATCGAGTCTGTCTGGGATTACATGAAGAGACAGAAGGATTTGAGGCAGCCTACATCCACAGGAGATCTGTGGTTAGTTCTTCAAGATGTTTGGAACAACCTACCTGCCAAGTTCCATTTGAGGCAGCCTACATCCACAGGAGATCTGTGGTTAGTTCTTCAAGATGTTTGGAACAACCTACCTGCCAAGTTCCATTTGAGGCAGCCTACATCCACAGGAGATCTGTGGTTAGTTCTTCAAGATGTTTGGAACAACCTACCTGCCAAGTTCCATTTGAGGCAGCCTACATCCACAGGAGATCTGTGGTTAGTTCTTCAAGATGTTTGGAACAACCTACCTGCCAAGTTCCTTCAAAAACTATGTTCAAGTGTACCTAGAAGAATTGATGCTGTTTTGAAGGCAAAGGGTGGTCACACCAAATATTGATTTGATTTGGATTTCTCTTCTGTTTGCTCAGTTTGCATTTAGTAAATTGATAAACATAAATAATTACAATATATATTTTTGAAAGCATTCTTACTTTATAGCATTTTTTCACACCTGCCTAAAACTTTTGCTGTTTTGAAGGCAAAGGGTGGTCACACCAAATATTGATTTGATTTGGATTTCTCTTCTGTTTGCTCAGTTTGCATTTAGTAAATTGATAAACATAAATAATTACAATATATATTTTTGAAAGCATTCTTACTTTATAGCATTTTTTCACACCTGCCTAAAACTTTTGCACAATACTGTATCTGTCCCATCAGTCAGGGAGGGAGCTGGTCTGACAGTAGGGACATGGGCCAGCTGGGACAGCAGTCCACTTGATTGTGTTAGATGGAAGAAGGGAGATGGAGAAAGGAGAACAAGGTTGCTTTTCCTGAGAGCTGGTTTCCCCTTCATCTCCTAAGGGGAGAGGCACCAGTTTTCTGCCCCTTCTGGCATCAGAGGAAGGTGAGGGTCCACCAGCAATCCCCAGATGGGGAGAGTGCTATTCCACCAGCCATAAAATGGGGACTGGGGAAAACACAGGTAGGGGTACAGAAACAGGGAGAGGGCAGTCTATCCAAGATCCACTAAAAAGAAAAGAAAAAGGAGGGGAGAGTGGAGTTTGTGGATGCCTTAAGGAGGTCTGGTCTTCCCAGGAATCACTGGGGAAAGAGAGAAGAGGAGGGAAAGGAGGGCAAAGTGGAAGAAGGTGCTGGTCTACCCACCTCTTTGAGACTAACAGGATGTGGTCTACCCAAGTTGGGGGGGGGGGTAGATCAAAGAAGCAGGGTGTCTGAGCAGAGGGTCATTTTATTGAGGGCCAGCCCACCTAACAAAGGATGTGCCATAGGGGAGCCAGTGTGCCTGCCTAGAGTTTGGGAATGCATGTAAGAGGAGACTGCATGCATGGAGACTGGAGACAGAGAGGGGCCCTTTCTGTAGACCTGTCTCCTGTGGGGAGGAGCGCCAGGCTGGAGTGGTGGAAATGTGCTACCTGCAAAGGGAAGGGAAGGGAGAAAGACCCAGAGCTCAGGGAGGCAGTCAACCTGATGCAGCACAGGGTCAGGGAGTTTCCTGATGCAGCACAGGGTCAGGGAGTTTTCTCTTCTCTCTCTGGTTTTGGAGAAATATTGCTTCAGGACTGGAAGAAGTCTCATTCTCTTGATGTCTCCAAGGCCCTTTTCCCTGGTGCATTATCAGTTTATTAGAAGAAAGATTTCCTACCGGGAGGCTGGGTTATTCTGGAAATGTGTGCCTACCACAGACTCAACCCTCCCTATCAGACTGATGAAATGTGATTGGCTTCAGTGTTTTGCAGCTGATAGATGCCAAACCAAAATATATTTCCATCCAACAGAAAAACAAGTCCAGTAAGAGCAAAGATGAAATAAGAATGAAGGTGTGTGTGTAATTTTCTCATCCCTCCCTCCTATTGTTAAGGAATTAAAATAGATTTTTATAGGTTTGTCATTGAAATTTATATAATTTTTATGCAAATATATATACAAGACTATATTTCATACATAACAGACATGCATTCTTCTGACTTTTTTACTTTTAGTGTTGTTGGATTTTTTCCCCCCTAGTTTCTTAAGGCTGTATGTTGTTTGATTTAGGAAGAAACTAAATTATATTTCCCAGATGAGTAGCCATGTGGTCTTTTGCAATAAAATAAGGTTTTCTGGCAACTTAGGACTACCAAATATATGACTGTATAAATCATGGCCAATTTAAATTATCTGCTCATTGAACACTTTCTCCAAAGAACTGTGTCATATATAGTGTGTTGTCTGAAATGGGAATAGCTTATGAAAAAATAAATATCAGGAATAATTGGTTAAATTTCAAGAACATCAAGTAATAGTTTCCTTCCTTCCTTCCTTCCTTCCTTCCTTCCTTCCTTCCTTCCTTCCTTCCTGTTTTACATGTGAAACTAGATTCTAATGCATACAGCATTTTATTTGAAAGTGGATAAATATCATGATTACTTCAGGATCCTGATGGGCATGAGTTTAGAAAGCCTTCAGATTGTTTTTGACTCCTGGAGACTATATAGAAATCCACGCAGTTTCCTTGAAAACATTTTTTCGGAAGTGGTTTGCCATTGCCTTCTTCTAGGACTGAGAAAGAGTGACATACCCAAAGCCAAGCAACTAGCTCTGGGCCTA